ATAGTTTCTTCTTGTGCAAATTCTGCAAAGCTGCCTCTCTGACAGTCAATCTCACACATCTGTGACTCAGCACCTGTCTTACCTTAATACCTGTGATAATGCCCCACTAGAAGTAGTGTTATCATTCTTCTATCTCCTATTAAGGGAGATCAAATATATTTGTACGTTGTATTTCTAATATGAACTGTTTCAAATGAAACACTGACTGTACAATCTATTCTCACCAAACTGTGATAACTGGGATTAAATTCAGTATAAACAAATGCAATGTATTGCCACGGCTCAAAACTTCCTGCCCCCCTCTCGCCACCCCATAAATATTTTTCTAGATCCGCCCCGGACTAGAAACATTCAGATGACTGAGAGGAACGATGAGGGGAACATCTCTACCATGTCTGCTCTGTAAGTAGGAAAGATTTTTATCTGTTTTCTCTAAAGTGAACTTTCTGTTGGGTATTTTTGAGAAAATACATTCATGGCAAAATAATTTGGCTGAAATCAGGTAAAAGGAATATAAATATTTATCACAGGGTAAAGGAAAATGTCAGTTATTTTATTTATATTTTCTTGAGCCAACAAAGTAGATCTGTAGAGTCTCAGTGAGCATGTAGTTCAGAAATGGAAATGGCGCTGGGGAGGGGGGGGGTTGCCACCCCCAGAATATGTTATCTTTTTTAGATGTAATTTCCTGCATTTTAATCAAATTGTGTCCTGTTTCAGCCCAACACAGAACCATACTTTTACTTTGTTCTGAGTGGCTTGTTTTTCTTGCAATAAGTTACAGCCAATTAAAATAATTAATAAATGGAAATGTCACGTTTGCACAGTATCATCGCGCACAGAAATCCCCTCACAAAACCAATGGTGTGTTGGCCTGGTAGAATTGTATTTTTTAGGCTATAGGGAAGATTACCCGTATTATATTAATGTTTTTATTTTTGCTTATTTTTGGTTTATTTTGGTTGCTTCTTACCCAGTTTATTAAATGACTCACTTTGTGCTGCTATACTTTTCCTGCCAACCTGCTGTGGCCCCCCCAAGCTCTCCGGCCCCCACTTTGAAAACCACTGTCCAAGATCATGATGCATGTAACTATATTTAGACCAGCACGGCAGCTCCAGTAATACAAAGAAAATAATATTCACGCTAAAATATTCAGACACCCATTGCAATGCATATAGTTAAAAGAAATAAGAAACCGCAAATTCACTGGGCTCATTTGGCAGTATAATAGAAAGTCATTTTGAGAATTAAAA